GCATGATAAAAGTACATCCTGTCCAACAAAGCCCGTCTTATTAGATTTCATCATTTGTCCCACTGCAGAACCATCTACAAGAACAGTTAGAGACAGTACTCATCATAACAAAATATTCAAATTCATTTACAAAGACTGGAAAGTTCACAAACATTCCAAGAAGCAATATATATCAGATATACCAAAAACGATATACTATGTATAACAGAATGTGACCAGACCAGCAATAAAAAGTATATTTTTTTAATGAATAAAGTTATTTATAGGTATAGAAACATAAAAAACAGCACTCACTCATGGTCAGCAGAAGTGTCAGCAATGCCAAGGTCTTCATTGTTGTCCTGGAGGAGAGAGAAGCAGGTTTTGAGGTATGTGCTGCTGGAAATTCCCACCTTCTTAAACAAACCAATACAAACTAGGCTGGGTGCATAATTCCATGGGCGTAATACATAAATACAAACATCCGCGCTTTGTCCTGGAAAGTCGCACGATATCATTCGTTAAAAAGAAGAAAAGAAGAAAACGATCTCCTAGCAGCTCAATGCATCCGTGAAATTTATTAGAAGTCATGCTCATGCCACATGAGAAAAAGAGACACATTTTTATTTTTTGCCCACAAAGACTTTGTCATCTGATCCTGACTATGGAATCTCCTATAGCCTATGATTAAAAACCAGCAAACGCGAAACAATAGAAGGAAACCTAATTCAAACAAAGCGCACTTTGAGTCAAGGGTCTCTAATTGTATCTACAAATTAAAAATAATATATTAAATACATATAAACAAAGAATGGATTTAAATTTGATCGGTAAAGAAATTCAATTCAAACTAAAAGCACAGTGTCCTGCTTACCTTTGGTTTATATTTCCGCTGCAGAAGAGCCACGCGTGTCAGATCCCTGGAGTAAAGTGAAGTGAAATCAATGGATCACTCGTCAAGTTCGTTTCGTTAAGACGCGCCTACTTCATCATCCCACTCACTCACCGCAAAGAATATCGGGGTGTGACTGAGTTCGCAGTTTTATAGGTAGGCTAGTTGTCCGTTACCTGAACGTGACCTGGAGCTGTACGGGTATGTTATTGCACCTGGATCTACACTAGTCTAACTTGTTTAGTGTTTTAAACAGCCATACTGGAAGGGAAAAAATCCAGACTGAACAAGATGGGCATACTATTGTGTTACTTCCATCAGATGTCGCTAGAGGTCCATTGCAGGCCGTATCTACTTTCACTTTCCCGCTGTTATTCAACAGTGAGAGTTTATTGATCACGTTGTCAAGCTATATGGAGTAGCCTACGTTGACAGAAAGATGTATCAGCCATATTTC